GAGGGCCCATGGCGTCCAGGGCCCCTGCCGGCGCCAGCGCCCAGCCGCAGAACGCCAGGAGAGCCCGCACCGCCATCGTCGATTGTGGGGTCAGAGGCTGGGAACATTCGGGAACTCCAGTGCGGCAGGAGGCTCCAGCCACCGCGGGGACAGGACTGTCCAGGGTGCGGGGAGGGGTCTCCAGCCCCTGGGCCTGGTTGGAGGAGGGGCTCAAAAGGCAATAACGGGAGTGAAAGGATTTAGGAAATTCAGCGGTCGAGTGGGGCTCTTGGCACCAGAAAGCTAAAATTCTGGACCCTTATTTTGAAAGGCTTAATGGAGGCAGCCTATCTATCCCCACTACTTCCTCAAATTTAGAAAAACCTGTATAAGAAATTCAGTTGTCACCCCTCCACCAGAAGTCGTAAATCTCCCTGCTCCCACTATCCCCAATACCTACTTTAATTTTAAATTGTCTTAAAGCTACTTGCCCGTTCCTTCTCACACCTGCGCTGGCACAAGCCCTCACGCTCTGTCTTCTGGAATCGGTGAACACACACACACACACACCCGGTCTCCCACCTACACACACTAGGGCACCACTTACCTAAACTTTCATCTCCCCCCAAGGAGGCTTGGCTCTGTCTCTGTTCTGGACCCGCACTCCTGCTGCCTGGGGACTTGTGGGAAGCCCTCCCTGACTTGCCTCATACAAGTCGCTGCTCCCAGCCCAAGCACTGCAGCTCTACTTTTTCACGGTCTCCTCCACTAGACTGTGAGGCCCACTGTCCCCACAGACTCATGCCTAATAGGTGTGAAATAAAGACTTGTGGAATCGATGTGTGAATTCTCAACATGCAGATCCATCCACCCGGTTCAAGGCCACCTCCCCCATCATCACCCACCCACACATATACAGAGGCTCCACTGTAGCGCCCAAACTCTCATCAGGAAATGTAAGGTCCTGAACGACTCCTCCAACCTTACCCCACATACACTATCCTGCCCACTTTATGCTCTTGTAACAAACAGTGCTGGTGTCCCATTCTCCACACCCAGCCAAGCTGTCCCTCCTACATCCCTGATACATCACTGCTGCCTCTCAGGATCTTTTCTGGACTTTCTTGAGATAATCTCTGTGTTCTTCATTGGGGCACCAATCTGGAAATTACAGGGCTTAATATTTTGTTAGTGACTTCTATGGGTCAGATATAAAGATTGATCTGGTTTTCTCCTGCCCCAGCGCCCTTAATCAGTTGTATTTTAAAATAATGTCTTTAAGCCTTTCCCATCTGGACTGTGGGTTTTCAAGAACAGCGGCTTGTGCTTGACCATTTCCTTGTCCTCAGTGTCACCTACAAGGTACTACACACAGGTGCAAGATAAATGGGGAAGAGGCGTGGATCTCCACAGGCCAGGAGGGTTGGGTCCCTGGGTGGTGAGCCATAAGCAGGAATCCCGAATACACTGCTTCCCTTGAGCTTTTGTGCATTTTTGTAATTTTGCTTAGAGTATTCAAGGGCCTCAGGAAATTATAGGTCCAAACCACTCAAAAGCTTCCCCCCAGAGCTTTCCCTGCAAGTGTTTCTAGTTTGGGGTTTTATATCTTGTTAGTCTCCCAGTTCATGAGGGACTATCAAAGGCAATAAGGGCACTTATTATCATTAGATGGTGGGAAGGTGTAGTCTTGTGTGCCCTTAAATACTGCAACCAAGTTGTCTCTACACCTTACCTTCTCCCTACTTTCCCTCCACAGACCAACAGCCTCATCCCTAGCTTTACCAGGACTGCTGTCCAGATTCTGGATGATCCTCCTCTTCAATGCCTTTCCCTCCATAAGCTCATTTGTTCATTCACTCATAGCATGTGAACCCTTCTATGCCCCTCTATTGTGAGATTTGCTGCTACAATGAGGCAGCCCCAGCCCTAAGTCTCTGACAAGCCAGAAGAGCCCCCAACATGGACTTCCAATCCTATAGCCTCAATACTCAGGGTCTGGTAGTACCGTGCAGAGAAATAGAGTCCCAGGACATTTTGCTGAAGGAACAGAAACACCCACTGTACCATACCCAGGTCAGCAGCACACACGTGAGTGCCCAAGCATTCTAGAGGGTTCCTCAAATCCCACTGCCCCAAAAAATCCTCTGGAAACCACATTATCGCTTTAATACTGTGTAATACTTTCTTTTAAAATACAGTCTCTTCTGAGGTAGACAGACCACAACTGCAGAGCATCGTCAGACAGGAGATAAATACGCCCATGTACAACACACAGCAAAATGAGGTAGAAATGGTTACAGCTGGAGGAGGATCCCAACCCCAATCTGGGTAGAGGAAGCAGAGGGTCAGCTTGCCCTCCCAACACCATGCCCCTGGATTCTTTGGTATGCTCCCCACATCGCCAGTGCTGGACCTGCCCTACCCTTCCCACCTTGTGCCCCTGAGGTAGGTAAGAGTAGACTGGGGGCTGTCTTCTTGTGCAAACCTTCCCAAGCCTGGGGAATGGGAAGTTCCCAGCAGAGGAAGCAGAGAGGACCCTGGTCTTGGTCAGAGTTCCTGCCCACACCCAGGGCTGCCTGCCTCTGAAGGGCAAGCTGGGATCCCAACCCCACGTCCCTGCCACCCTCCATCTCACTCCCACACACACACCTGAGAACCCCCTCACTCCCTGCTCCCTCTGGGGGTTTTTTGCAGCAAATCCTGTGGCCACTGCTTCTGAGGCACCAAGCTCTTCAGTCAATCAGCTGGTTCCAAGGAGGGTCAGAAGCAGGCCAAAGGTGAGGAGGGAGAGACAGCAGCTTTGTTTAGCATGTTTAGCAGTCTTAGGCCAGCACCAGCCCTCAGCATCCTGGCCCCTGAAATGCCCCATGGAAACTCCTCCACATACCTCCATTAGGAGAGCAAAGTGGCAAGACTAGGAGCCATAGGAGCAGGCAGGGACCCACAAGAGGTTGGGAGGGGGAGAGAAAAGAATATGGGGGAATCTTCCCCCCTTGGACCTAGAGTTGTGAGGTGGGGGAGTGGTGGTTTTAAGCCCATCAAGGAAAATCGGTGGGAAGAGAGGAATATATTTCCCAGAGTCAAGGGCTTCAAGCTGGCTAGAAGCTCCCAACACACACACACACACACACACACACACACACACACACACACACCTCACTCCCTTGTGAGGGAAAATCACCCTGTCCACCTCCTTGGAACTGCAAACACAGGACACAAAGGGAGGCATTCCCCACCCAGCAATTACCAGTGAGGGACATTCACCCCTCTGCAGAGTGGCCAGCATAGAGGGCAGCTGAAGGCCAGTAGTCAATTCTGTGTCGACCCAGACTTGTGGCCAGACCATCTTCCCTCCTAAGGCAATGATGCTCTTAGCCTAAGTAACTGGGGTCCCCTGATGTGGCAGGGGCCTGGTGGGATGACCTTGGGGACTTTCTGCTTGTGTCACCTTCCTATTGGGCACTCTTGCTAGAGCAGGAAATGAGCAAGGAAACCCCAACTCTGGATAACCTTTCACAGAAAAGGTGAAACTGGGGTGGGGTGCAGAGGGAAGAGCAACAGAAAGGAAGCAAGATCTACCCCTTCAAATCTCATACCCCTCCTGGGCACCTCTAGGCTGGGTTGTGGGGAGGAGGAAGCCCTTAGAAATACATTCTGTTTCTGTCCCAGGGACACCCCAGGTCTGAGTGAGGATCTGGGCCTTCCTCTGTCCTCCCCACAAGTCTCTGAGTCTTCTGGGAGAATGTGCTCCCCTGGGGTGGGGCTGGGGGACGCACAGGAGAGCAGCCAAAGTCTAACATTCTTTCCGAGGTCAGTTTCTTCCTGAGTTGTCAAAAAAAAAAAAAACAACCAAAAAAAACCAGCAAATTCTACACATCTTACAAAAATAAAGGCCTAAAATATTAAGCTACATTTCTGGGACTTCCCCCTCAAAAACAAACCCCCCCCCAAACACCACTTCTTTGGGGGGTTTTTTGGTTTGTTTGTTTTGGCTTGTTACCCCTCCCCAGATCCAAATTTTCAGCTGGATAAGATAAGGGAGTGGGATGGGGGTTCCCTACTCCCTTCTTCCTCAGCCCTGGGCCTCCAGATCTCCTGCAAAAGGACACTGCAGTGAGAATGAGGGACAGAAGGCAAAGAGGGACTTTACAGCACAGGGACCAAGAGGCACAGGGACGCCCAAGCACACGGGTCAAACAGAAGCTCAGAGAGTGATAGATGGGAGAGGTGGGGACAGGAGGGAGGAGCAGAAGAGGAAATGCGACAGCGTGGTGGGGGAGGTCAGCGACAAAGCGACGGGAAGAACACCAAGCAAATGCAGAGAAGTGGTAGTGGGGGAGGTGTAGGGTGGCATTCAGAGAGTGAGGGAAACAAAAGGAGAGCAGGAGTTCTTTAGACCCGGGTATTAGCCCATGCAGGGTCTGCCCCTTCCGCCGGGCGGAGATGGCGAGCTTCCCGTCTACAATAAATAGGAAAAACCTGAGTACACGGCGCACATGGCATCAATCTGTCTGGCAGAAGAATTTTCCTTTCCGTGAAAAAAAAATCCACCAGCAGAGCAGTCCCGTCCCCCACCCGACATGCGCCAATCGGGCACACTCCGGGCCCGGTTTGGTCAAAAACATTCGCCCCAAGCAGAGGAGGCTCCAGCGGCCACCCTGACGCCATCAGTGTCCAGAGCCGTACATTTTGTCCCACTCCACGAACGAGTCCAGCTCCTTGGGGGAGCCCCTAGAGCCCACCTTGGCTAGCGCCACCTCCAAGTCCTTGTACGAGAGAGGGCGCTGCAGCCCCGGGAGGCCCGCCCCGGCCGCCGCCTGCTGGCACAGCTGCCC